AGCTAACCAAAAATAAATGAACTAAGTCCAGTACTGGTTTTTAATATGTTATTAATAACATAATACACTAGATTGGGTGATTAATTATGTGTTAGAATCTTTGCCTCAAAGTAGATAAAGAAAAAAAATAAAGAAAATAGTGTTGATGTTTGTGTATTTCAGAGACTATTTATTCTATTATTTTTAAATATACAATCTCATTTCTCAGGAAATCTTGACATATATCTCGCTGTGGAAGGTTAGGTCCATCAGTGTCAATCACACATTCATTTGCTCCAGACACTACACTGGCTTTCACAACTCTCCAGGGTTTCAGTGTTTTATATTAAGCTGCATCACTCTGATCCAGCTGGTTCTGGAACACAGCCAAAGCTATGGACATCTTCAAAGGCCTTTTTAAGATTGCAGGGTGGAACTGTGTTTCGAGAGTTTGTTTGCCTTCATGATGTAGATGATGAGCTTTCTAAACTTTGGACAGCATTGGTAATAGTTTCATCTATTTATATCAACAAGAATACACGATAGAACTAAGAAAGGAAAACTTTAATCATTTTTTACATTCCCCAATTTAAACAAATGAGATAACGAAATTCAAAAGCACTCCCAAGGTATCCCTCCCCCTTTCCCAGGATATGTAACAGCTTAATCCATTACTCTGGTCCTGTCATTCACTTGGCAAGATGATACTAGTCATCAAGTAAAACAGTCAGTTAAGGGAAATGTTTTACTCTGTTCATGGTTGCTAGTGAAATTAGATGATGTGGGGGTGGGGGCAGTGGCAGGAAGCAGAGAGAGAGAGAGAATCCCAGGCAGGCTCCACGCCCAGTGCAGAGCCAGACACAGGGCTCTATCTCACAACCCTGAGATCATGACCCTGAGATCATGACCTGAGCCAAAATCAAGAGTTGGATGCTTAACCGACTGAGCCACCCAGTCACCCCCAAATATAGATACTTTTAAAGTAAATTTAAGACTTCAGTCCAAATTATCTTCAAACCTGCATTAATGAAAAGATGTCTCCACTAGATGTTTCTTGCAGGTTTCACACACTCAAGTGGTACTTACTTTAAGGAAAACAATATAAATCTCAAATATGCTAGTAATTTAATCTAGTAATTAGATATTGATACGATATATAATATTTTGACAGGCTTGGATATGAAGGGACTAGGCCAGGAAGAATGGACTTACTAAAAACTAGGTTGTAAACTTTTGTCTTATGTTGACAATGTAATGAAATCTGTCTAAAGTAGCAATGGTGATGGTACTGGTGGGAAGCAAGTCTGATGCAGTGGAGAATCTGTGGGGATTACTCAGCATAAGCTTAAAAGTTAGTTTTTTAAAAGGACTATTTTCTGGATACAGTTATTATATTTGTGGAATTGTCAATTGATTCACATAAAAATTCATGTTATATTAGGTCTTACTAAAGCTAGATTCTCTTCTACTTATTCATTCCTCTCATTTGGTGGGAGGTCAGCTCAGATGTCTTCTCCAACTTATCTTTCTCATGGTATTGGCCTACGCAGACTGTTCTTTAAACTGGAACATGTTCTGGGATTTTGATGAAACTGTATAAGAAAACTAGGGGCTTCCCCCTGAGTTGGGCACATGATAGGCAAACCATAAGTCCCATTTTCCTTCGTCTTATATGCCATGCTGTCTAATTCCAAAATGATGCTTGCATCCAAGTTTGGATTCTATATCATATTGTCTCGTAGTTGCTAGAAAGAGCCATGAAATAAACAGAACATAGAGAAAAGCTTTTATCCTTGAGAATCTCTGTTACCACATGTATAGCTTTTCTTAAGAACTTGTTTGTGGAATGCCTGGCTGGTTCAGTTGGTAGAGCATGTGACTCTTGATTTTAGGGTTATGAGTTTGAGCCTCATGTTGGGTGTGGAACCTATTTAAAAAAAAAAAACTTTGTAACTTTTGAAGGAAATAAAAAGAAAAATTATTCTGTGAGTAGTGGAGTGGTAGAATTACAATGAAAAGATTCTTGGCAATGTTATTTTGAAGAAAGGAAATAATTCCCTACTAAAAACCCCTCAAATTTGGCCAAATAAATAGCTATTTTCCACCATTTGGCATATTATCTCTCTTTCAACAAGGTTCTATTGTTCTTCTCATCTCACAGTTTATAGAGATCAAGTAGTCAGGACACTTGAAATTCTAGGGTAGGCCTCAAAAGAAGGAATCAGGAATCGGTCCCAAGGAAAAAGGAAAGTTTAGGTTAGTTGATCCATGATTTTATTTTTTTGCTGTTTATTAAAGGACATATGGGCAAATATGAAAATGACTTCTTCCTCTATGTGAGTAAATGTAATTGTACTATATATTAATTTTATAAACCAATCACCATTGAGCTTTGAAAAAAAATTCATCACTTTAAATCATGATTCAACATAGAGATTTTTAAGTTAAATCCATACATATTTATTGAGCACTTACTATGTGGCAGATACGCTTTCTAAACTTTCTAAACTCCAGTGTCCTCATCTGTGTGATTAAAAACTGTAGCTACCTCATAGGGTTGTTTTGAGAATATGCATCTAAAACACCTAACCTAGTACATTGCACACAGTAGACACACAATAAAGAGGGCCATTATTATTTGTTATTCTTCTTAAATGCCTTAAAACAGATTCCAGAAACAAAAAGGGATGGCAGATATAAAAGCCATAGATCTTATAGCAGGCTGTGGTAATAAAAGATCCCCTTAAGCCAGATATGCAAACACATATGTGGTTACACTAAGAAACACATCCACTCACTTATTAAATAATTTAATGAACACTTACTATATGCCAATCACTGTGGTAAGTGCTGGGGATATATTCGTGAATAAGATAAACAAATTCTGCCCTCCTGGTGCTTATGGTCTAGAAGGCAACAATGACATTAAACAATAATTACTCAAATGCTCTATAATTACTATCATAACAAGAGCTATGAAGGAAAAGTGCCAGTGCTATAAAAGTCTAAATCCAGGGTGGTGGGGGTGGGTGGGTAGATAATTTAATTTGAACAGTCAGAGAAGGCTGCCCCAGGGAAATGACATTTAAGTGAGATCTAGAGTCAACAAGACAAATTGGTAGAGGTGGTGTTGATAGAACATAGTAAAGTAATTCAAAGGTATAAATAAAACCACAAAAAAGATCTCATTTCAGCCAAAGACGTTTTTACTTTAAAATAATAGAAGAACATTTCTAAAGGTCCTTATAGTTTGAAGCTATTATTATAGGGTTATTACCAGATTATTTGTCTCAATATGAAAATTAAGAAAATGTTATTTAGCAAAATACCCTTAAAAGAATCCATCTCTTACAAATTCAGGTGTTGTATGTATAAAAAGCTAGAATTACAAAATTGGTCTTGCTAAACTCCAGGCTTCTGAGGCATGAGGTAAACAGAAGTGGATAAGGTTTTATTTGCTTTGGGGAGTTTTTTATTTGTTTGTATTTTTAGGCATCGTTAAGTGGAAAGAACATTGAATCTGAGGTCAGGAGGTCTGAGTTCTATTTCTGACTGTTACTCACTCACTGGGGAGCCATAGGCAAAGCCTTCAAGCTACCGCTCCCTCTTCTGTAAAGAGGAGTATTGCTTACAAAAGCCCTGCATTGCAGAAGCTTAGCTGAGGAGCTCTGTTAGCTCAGGTCATGGCCTGATGGTATGGATTGGAGTCAGAGGATTCCTGAAACTTTTCTTCTTTCATCCAAACATCTGTTTGCTCCTCTGTTCTGGCTTTATGACAGTAAATGTCCAGACCTTAAGACTGAAAGGAGAGGGGCGCCTGGGTGGCTCAGTCGTTAAGTGTCTGCCTTTGGCTCAGGTCGTGATCCCAGGGTCCTGGGATGGAGCCTCGGATGGGGCTCCCTGCTCGGCGGGAAGCCTGCTTCTCCCTCTCCCACTCCCCCTGCTTGTGTTCCCTCTCAAGCTGTGTCTCTCTCTGTCACATAAATAAATCAAATCTTTAAAAAATAAGACTGAAAGGGGAGAAAAAGAAAAGAAAAGATCAGCAGCTTTTGGTAACAGTCATGGAACAAAAAACTGAGAGGAGCAAAAGTTAACTTGAGAGTGAAGAGGACAGTATGGGAATTGAATATTTATCACCTCACTTATGTGAGTCTTTTATCTTCTGGGTGGTGCTTGGGGTCCTGTTACTGGAAATAATGACACTACTGTGAGAATCAAGCAGACTGTTCTTATTTGCTCAGAGTTTTTCCTTCTTGCTTTTCTTCCTAAGGGACTTTCTGCCTTCTCCCAACCCATTCTCCTTTCTTTTTTGGCTTCCTTGTCTCCTTTCATTTGTTTTCCCTGCCACTCTTTTTCCCTGATCCTTTCATTTTCCCCTCTCTATTGCTTCACCCCACAAGGACACAATCATTAATTAAGACCCTTAATAACTGAAGCAAAAATGTATTGTAAGGGGCGTCTGGCTGGCTCAGTTGGTGGAGCATGAGACTCCTGGTCTCAGGTTTGTAAGTTCAGGCCCCACATTGGCTGTAGAGATTACTTAAAAATGAAATATTTTTTAAAAATGTCTTTTAATAAAAGCCTTAAAAATTATAAGCAGTTGTTATGACTACATAGTACAAAGCCAAAGCCACAAAGCCAGTCAACAAATATCATCCAAAGGTCACCGTTCATGTCACCCAATCCTATCTGCAAGATTTCCATTTGCAATAAAGTAATATCCTACCACTCACATGGTGGAATTTACAAGTTTTTAAGGGAAAAAATGTGAAGAATAGAAAGCATTGTATGTACGCTCTGTGTGTATGCCACTGAGCTAAAAATGTCATGCTCTGGTATCGTCAGATGATCTTATTGTCATTTTGCAGGTGGGCTCTTCTAAGAAATTACTTGTCAATCCATAACAGTTGTAAGTATATAGATAAAAAAATAAACACAGGCAAATAAATCTGAGGAAAAAAATAGAAGATTGCCTTAGATTTTGTGTAACTAACTAGGGAATTTTTTTTTTTTTGAAGGATGTAAAGTAGGATATATTAACTGTTTCAGTGAACACATTTTGTGAAGTGCCTTCCGTTTTAGCACTTTAAGTTTATCACATTTTGTTGACTTCTGACATTCCACTTTCCTAGATTATAGGAAAGATCTGTTTATGTAGTTTGTTTTAAAAATGTGCCAATGCCTGTACATTAACAAGATTTTTAAAAATACAACTGTATAAAACAATTTATTGGTCTTTTGGGGGTATCTGCTGTATCTCCAGTGTATTACAACTGAGCCATTAATCTTGTCGCTTCATCAACATTAACTGGTTCGTTTTCATGACACTGCTGAGGAATCAGCTGTTTCTGCAAAGGTTCAAGGGAAAGGCCTTTTGAGAAATGGGCAAGTTCCTTTTGTATATCTACAAAAGCTTTATTCACTCTGTTAACTTTTTCATCATTCACAATGTTTATCTTCTTAAGATTAGTGGTAACTGGTTTTGCTTTGTTTTTAGACTTAAAGTTTTTTTGGCTGGCTATATGAAATACATTCCTGGACTTCTGCCCTCTTAGTTTGTTCTTGGCCATTGTCTTCAATACCCTCGTGCAGCAACTCACGCTCCGACTGACACCATCTACACGCAGAAGATCTTCCCTAACTAGGGAATTTTTTAACTTGAAAACTAAAAAGTGAATTGTTTTCAGGGAAATTATTTATGCCCAACATTATCTTATATTTGTATAGAAGATAACCAAACATCATTATTTCAAAAATATTTTTATTTATTTGAGAGAGAGAGTGAGCACAAGAGAGAACATGAGTGGGGTGTGGGGGCACGGGGAGAAGCAGACTCTCTGCTGAGCAGGGAGCCCAACTCGGAACTCGATGCCAGGACCCTGGGATCATGATCTGAGCTGAAGGCAGACGCTTAACCAACTGAGTCACCCACGCGCCTAAACATCATTATTTCTGAGATGTTTCTGATACCTAAATGCTACAGCAAGGAAATTCCTCAGCATCCCCACTAATTTGTCACCACATGGTCTACTAGCCAACCATCTTGCAACACAGCGGCAGAGAAGGAAACTGCTCTTCGCAAATGCCAGAATCATAATGTGTTGGCAATTCATGAGGGTACACTGAAATGCTCTCCGATTTTATTTTTTTGGTTGGAATTGATTTTTAAGAATTCATATAATTAGCAGGCTGGTTGAGCAAGTCAAATTATTATGGATTTGCCCGGGTTAGAAATGAAGTCACTCAGAACAAATGAAGTCATGAAACCTGTCCCTGTTGCCGAACGCTTCTTACTATTCTTTTGTTACCTCATATGTGAGAGAGCTAATGAAACAGAAGTTCTAATCATATAATCTGAGAACTCCTGAAATTTTTTCACTTCTCAATTCTTTGATAAAGAAAAGAGAATATAGCAATAAATTGGTAGCATGGGCATGCACAAAAGAGAAACAAATCTATTTTGTTGATTTTATAAACAATAGAATCAACAAGCTTGGAAAAAGATGAAAAGAATTTCTTTTCTGGTGTGGGAAATCTAAGCAAGAACTTTGATTCTTTAGGAAGGCATCCCATAGAATTTGGTTAGTAGGCCAGTCTTTCTTTTAGCAATCCCAGAAAAAAAACCCCAAGAGTCCTTTCCCTGAAATCTGCAAAAATAGGACCAAAAATTATATTTTGTGTTTTGCCAGTATTCCAATCTAAATGACCTGAGGGATGGTAGAGAGCATACCCAGGAGTCCATGGTTTCCAAGTAGATTTCTTCCTAAACATCAGCCAGGGGCCTGGGAGTTTCCCTCAAAAAGGAAGACATTAATTTAAAAGCTACTTATGAAGGTAAACTCCAATATTAGAAATTAGATATCTTCATGGTGGAGTGTTTTAATGATTGGGAAAAAAAAGGAAATCAGGAGCTTTAACAAGGAAGAGTTTGGAACTAAGCTCTTGTTAGTGTTCTCCAACTGTGGCCTGAGAACAGTATGTTATGAGCATCCTACGTCACCTACTGAAGTGATCACCCAATGATTATCTGGTTATCCCAACTGAATGAGGTTCTCCTTAACTTCTTCCACCTCTTTTTACTCTGATTCTACTCCAGATAAGCAAACTTCTTACCTAAAATTTATTTTTCGACTGGACTTCCCTGGAAGTAAAATGATCTGAGTATTCCAGATTGCTTCACAAGTATCCTTTTTTAAATTTACAATAAACTTCTGGGTTTCTCATCAACTTCTAGTGAGCTTTATTTTTAGCATGAATGAGTCCCTGAGAGTCTGCCTATTCTGCAGTTGTACCAATAAAAATGAATTTCTGAATATGCTTGGTTTTAATTGATAGAGACTTCATAAAGAATAATTTGCTCTGAGAGTTTCAATCTGAAAAAAACCTGCCTAGTGTTCTCTTTCTAACCAACTCTTTAAGTGCAACATGACTGAACTAAAAACCACATCCTTCATTTAAACTGAATAACAGTTTGTGAACTCTTGTCATGTATAAAATTTATCTTTGTTTAAAGCTACGTATAAAACGTTAAGTTTATATATTAATGCTGATAATTATTGAGGCTTGATAATGGATACATTGGGAGTTCATTATAATATTCTTTCTGTAATAAAAAGTATGTTTGGGGCGCCTCGGTGGCTCAGTCAGTTAAACATCTGCCTTTGGCTCAGGTCAGGATCCCAGGGTCCTAGGACTGAGCCCCACATTGGGCTCCCTGCTCAGTGGGGAGCCTGCTTCTCCCTCTGCCCCTCCCCCCCTTTTGCTCTCTCTCTCTCAGATAAATAAATAAAGTCTTTAAAAAAGTGTACGTTTGAAATTTCTTAATAAAAAGTACAGCAAAAAATTAAAAAATATCAGGAGATTTCAAAACCATCTTCAAAGAACGTTCTAAAATTGAGGTAATGTGATTTGTTCTCTGCCTGGATTTTCAGTGTTATTTGTCTCCACAACAAGCAAAACTTTAGCTCAAGTTACTCAGGCAATGCTATCAGGTGTCCGCCAGCTCTGCCGCTTGCTGTGGGCTGTTTCTTTGCCAGGAGGCACTATATTTGGATCTATGTGTGACGGTTGATACTTTGGCTCAAGTTGTAAGAACCAACTCATTTCTTTTCTAGGAGGGGATGATACTTGTTTGTCCCTGCTGATCATGTTGAAATATCTGTGAAATAGATAAGATTTTGATTTTCGTAGGGGTATTTCTGCCCTCTTGATAAAAAACCTACTGAAAGTTCTCTTTGTACCCCAAGGCCTCTGTCCCCTTGTATATGATAGGATCTCTTGGTCAAAATTTTTATATGCTCTGTTTTTGGGTCAGAAATACTTTAGTGTTACAGAGACTAGGTTCTGAAATGACAACACGTTGATTTAACTGTTATATAAACATAAGTATATATTTAATAATATAAAATTTAAAGTATTATAAATTTAATAAATAATATAATATAAACAGTATAAAATACTATTAAATATAAAAAAAGTCTATAAGAATTTTGTCAAGGAATCTGACCAGATAGATACAAAGAAAACAAGAAATGTCTTCATCTTTTTTCTCCTAAGGATTAAATCCTACATAGAAAGACTTATTGGCCTGATAAATTACATTTAACAAAATGTTCAGTTGATGTTAATTTAGGAAATGTGTCTCATTTACTTCAATGTGGTATTTGTTTTGCCCATTTTATCATAGTGCTTTTTGTTATATTAGTTTAACTGTTATGTTGAATGTGTTTGTTTAAAAATTTATCAAAATTGTCTTTTAATGTTTAATACTGCTTTGATTAAGACCACACTTACGTTTGATTAAGGTGTATCTATATCAGGTAGCTGGGTTAAATTAAAAAATAAAATAAAATCTAGGACAAATTTGACTACTGTATTTTTCAGATTTAATTTGGATGTTTGACTTTGTATTGATGGAACAACTATATATATATGTTCTCAAATTTTCCTTTCTAGAAGAAATTCATAGAGAAAACCAAATATTCTGTGGAGATTATAATTGGATTTTTTTCACATACTAAAAAATAAGTTACTATTATCAAGAGGTCTCATTCTGTAGGGACGGCTATGAAACTTAATAGAAATAATGGTTTCAGCTTAAAATATTTGAAGAAAGTATTCTTTACTATCAGGTTTAGAGATTTATCTCTTAATCCTGAAATTACCTTTATTATGATCAATCTTTTTACTTTATTGTCACTTCCCTAATATTCCTTGTCATTTATGCAAAAACATAGAAATAGTCAAGGAAGTTTACGTCTTGAATGAGAACCACATTGGGCTGAATCCGACTTGCATGAAAAGAAAATTTCAGAGATATAAACTTCCATAATACACTCTGTAAAAGCAGCCACATTTCAGTTATGTACATGTACTCTATAGTCAAATTGTTAGGGTTCAAAGCCTGGTTCTGCCTGTATTAGTCAGATGTACAAATGTAAGTAAGATTAACTCTGTTCTTTCATTTCCTTGTCTGAAAATAATAGTACCTATCTCCTACAGTTGCTTTATACGTAAATCAATACGTACAAAGAATTCAGAAGAATATCTAGCTAGTAATGGCTATTATTCAAAATTTCAATTTGTTCCAAAGATATTTATGTGAATATGCGAATTTCCATAACAATATATGTGTGTATAACAGTGTTATGTGTGTTAGCACGTGCTAAAAATGCTACTCCTGATTTTCACTTCATTATAAAAGTAAAACGTTTTCGGGCACCTCGGTGGCTCAGTTGGTTAAGCAACTGCCTTCGGCTCAGGTCATGATCCGGGAGTCCCAGGATCGAGTCCCACATCGGGCTCCCTGCTCAGCAGGGAGTCTGCTTCTCCCTCTGACACTCTTCCCTCTCGTGCTCTCTGGCTCTCATTCTCTCTCTTTTAAAAAAAAAAAGTAAAATGTTTTCATAGAAAGTTTGGGAAGTACAAAAAGCAAATAGAAGCATAACAAAATTATACCAAGTTTCACCATCCAGAGGCAACTATCAATAATATTTATAACTACACTTTTTCCATGAATTTTTAAATGTAAGTTTTAGTGTCCTAAATAATAATATTTAAGTGGAAATGGGTGGATTTGTTATTTATACATAGCATACTGAAGTTACTTTGTTAAAGCTTTTAAATTCTGAGAAGAAGCAGACATCAAACTTTTGGCTAAAGTATTAAAAATATTAAAAATATTTTGTCATGTAAAATAATCAGATTATGAAAATATTGAAAGATTCCAGGTTCATATCTCATAGATTTAAAAAAAAAAAGGTCTATCTTACTTTCTTCATCAGTTAACCTCTATGCAACTGGCAGAAAGTGGCTTTGAGGAATTTCCCAGAATAACTTTATTCTGAAATTTAATGTCAATAGGTCTCTGCATATTATACAGGTTGGCAGAATTTGATATGATGTGTAAATTGGATATTATTAGTAGAATTCAGTTTAGTTTTTGTATATGTTATTGATCCATAGTCATTCCTTCATATTATTCCTTATCCTAAAACAATTCTATGATTTAATTAGATTTTTGATGAGTTGATTCATCATTCTTTGTATTACATCCCTTTACATTTTGGCTAGGAATGGCATACTTTACTGCATTCCACTGTGACTACACATGTGGATACCTTCCAATGAAAA